TTCCTTCCATTTTGCTGCAAATGGCAAAATTTCTTCTTTCTTTATAGCTGAATAGTATTCCATTGTATATACCAAAACCTTTAATCCAGTTATCTCAATGGGCACTTGGTTATCTTACATAGCTTATCTATTGTAAATACTGAACACTGTGGCACATATGACTCTTCAAGTTGATGATTTCATATTCTTTTGGATAATTAGCCAGAAGTGGGATTGCTGGATCACATGGTAGTTCTATTTATATATATTTTTAGGAAGACCATACTGCTTTCCAAAATGACTGTACCGCCTTACATTCCCACCAACAGTCTGTAGGGTTCCTCTTTCTTCATTTCCTTGCTAACACTTGTTAGCAGCCTTTCTGATGTACGCTAGTTTCATAGGTGTCAGTTGATAACTCATTGTGGTTTTAAGTTGCATTTCCCTATAGTAAGAAGTGATGACAAATGATTTCTCATGTTGGCCATCTATCTGCATGTCCTCTTTGGAAAAGGGACTTTGCTCGTTTTTAAAAATTGGGTTGTTTTTACGTATTACATTGGACGAGCTCTTTATATACCTCACATATTAACCCCTTATGAGATGTGTGATGTGCAAATACATTCTCCCGTTCAAATGGTGGGCTATCTTTTTGATCTGATATTTTTTTTTTGTCTGTGCAAAACCTTTTTTAATTTGGTATACTGCTATTTTTTTTAAAATTTATTTTTATTTATTTATGCACACAAGAATGGGGGTATAGGCCAGAGGTGCAGGGTCAGGAGGTGGTGAGAAGATTTACCAGAGACAGAGTGGGGAGCAGAACAGGCGGTTCTACTGAAATACACTGCTGAGGGGAGCAGTGGGCAAGACGGGAGAGGTCTGCTGCACCATATGTGGGTTAGCTCCCTGGCCAGGAATCAAACGCATGCTATAGTGACTGGCGGTAGCTTGATAGTGCTGAGACTTTAACCTCTTCACCACCAGGGAGGCCCATGTACTGCTAATTGTTTATTTCTACTTTCATCTCCCTTGCGATTGGGTTCAAGTCCCCAAAGACATTTCTGTCATCAATGTCATTGAGTGTATTTCCTATGTTTTCTTCTATGTATTTTGTGATTTTAGGTTCTATATCCCAGTCTTTAATCAATTTTAAACTGTTTTATGTCTGGAATTAGAAAGTTATATCATTTCATTCTTCAAGATATGGCTGTTTTCCCAAAACCATTTGTTGAAGAGATTTTCCTTTTTTCATATGGTTATGGCTCCTTTGTCATAAATTAGTGTTGGCATATTGTGGATTCATTTCTGGGTTTTCAATTTTGTTACATTGATCTGTGTTCCTATTTTTTATTCCAACACCATCCTCTTTTGGTTACTATTGCTTTATAACATAGTTTAAAATCAAGTAACATGATGCCTCCCTTTTTATTCTTTTTTCTCAAAATTGCTTTAACTATTTGGGGGCCTTTTGTGGTTCCATATCAACATCACTATTTTTTGGTTCTATTTCCTTGAGAAATACATCAGAATTTTTATAAGAATGGCATTGAATATTTATGTTGCTTTTGGTAAGATGGTCATTTGACTATATTAATTCTCCACCCACCAATGAACATGGGATATCTCTTTGTTTCATTCTATATCTTTTAACAATGTCTTACAGTTTTCATTGTATAGATTTTTTACTCTGTTAAGTTTATGCCTAGGTATTTACTCTTTTTGATATGATTATAAACAGGATTGTTTTTCTTAAATCTCCTTTAATGAAGAATAGCTCCTTAATCTTTTATGATACTGAATTTTGAGAAGTACAGGCCACTTATTTTGTAGACCCCGGTGATTAAATTTAGAATGTACCTTTGGTAGGTGTACCACTTATCAATGTGTCACTTCAATGCATAATATTAGGGGGCACACAGGCCAGTCTGTTTTAATTATGGTAATACTCATTTTGATCACTCGGTTAACATGGTTTGTGCCAGGTTTCTGCACTATTTCTTTCTTGATATTAATGTGTTTGGTGACATTTTTAGACTATGCATCTATCTTACCACTCCTCAAATTTTCATCCATTTATTTTAGCAACAATGATGATCCTTGCCTGAATCCATTATTAGGATGTGAGATGGTGATGTTCTATGTCATCACTCCTACAATCATTAGTTGGCTTTCCATGGTAAGGAAGAATCTTCCTTGCTGTCCCATTTGTTTGTATTGATCTCAGGTCCAAGGCAAGAAGGTGTACTATCTCAGCTGCTATCCAAAATCAAACTGAAGGAATGAGCAAGTGCTATTAGCTGCTGTCAAGCCCTTCCACATCCCAATTACATTGATCCCTGAAGTCCAGACTTCCCCGAAGCCTTAATAGCATCCATAATCCATTCAGTGAGCTCCCCTTTTAGAACTGAATAAATCACTTGCAGAAATGAGAGTTTAGCTATAGGGAGTTGTCTCATCATTCTTTGAAAAATCCTAAAACTACCTAAAAGGATCATTCTGATGCAACAGTGAAGCAGGGATCGCTGTTAAGGTTGTTGGACATCTTGTGTGGGAAACAAACTTCTAGAGTTTTTTTTTAAACTTCTAGAGTTTTTGAAAAAAAATTATATTCGACACTATGAGACCTTATGTTAAAACATCCCATATACCTAGCCAGAAAAAATTGCAACTGAAGACTGACAAGGAGACAATTTCATCAATAAGAGAGTCAATGATTCATCTGAGAAAATGAGCCAAGGATATGAGGAAAATTCCCAGAAAATTGTAAGTGGTTATTGATCATAAAAAGAGGTTCAGCCTCATTGAATATAACAGAAATGAAAGTTGAGACTACAGTATAGTAGTTATTTTTCACTTATTAGTTTTGCAAAAGCCAAAAATCTGATTAACAAGATAGATTAGAAAAGGTGTGGGAAGTGGGTGCATTGTTGGTGGAGTATAAATTGGTATAATTCAATTAGGAAAAATTGACACTGGCTAACAAAAAATTTTAAAAGTAATACCTATTTGACCAAATAATTCTATTTTAGGAATTTATCCTATAGGTAAGCCAACATAGGAAATGACTGTTGTGCAGGCAATTCCATAGACTGCTGTGCCTATAACAAAAAGCCATGTATAGGGGACTTGCTAAATAAAACCCAATAGTCCACACAACAAAATCCCTTCATCAATTAAAAAAAAAAATTCTAGGCCATATTGTTGGGTTGAAAGAAGAAAACTGCGTGGGGTTGCTCTGAAAGGAAACTACAACATCAGTTGTGGTGGTCACTTCCAATATTGCTAGGAACGACGAGGCATAAAAGACCTGCTATGAGGTCTGTTCTCTTTGGTTCGGTCTGAATGTCACACTAGGTGCATGCATTTCTCATATAAAATTCGTAATTTATAAATGGGAATCGGTTGCAGCTTTCAGGTGATACCTGTCTCTTAAGAATAGCAAAAAAATAAATGTCACTTCCTCAAAAGGACGACTTTATATAGATGACTGGATCAAGAAGATGTGGTACATATACACAATGAAATATTACTCAGCAATCAAAAAAGATAAACACATGCAGTTTGCAGCAACATGGATGGAGCTAGAAGGGATCATGCTCAGCGAAATAAGTCAGAAAGAAAAAGAAAAATACCAGATGGTCTCACTCATAGCAGGAATTTAGGAAACCTAAATAAGGGACAAGGAAAAAGACTAATTAATACAAAGAAAAATAAAAATCAACAAGCAACTATAAATCAGAGACACACTAGGGGGAGGGTGGGGGAAGGGCAGGGAGAGGAAGGACTAGGGTCAAGTGGGGGGGGCAATTGTATGGGGACTATAACCAAAAATGAAAAATGATGTAAGAATTATATAAAATATTAAAAAAAGGACCACTTTAATTGTACCTAATATTTGTTTAGTTATTATCTGCTTTGGTAACTTATTTTAATATTCTGCCTCTTTTTCTCGTGGATATACTCATTTATTTGGTCATTTTCATCAACCATAAAATGGGTTCATTATGACTGAAAAAAAAAAAATCTACTAGCAAAAAAAAAAAAAAAATAGTAGTGGAGGGGAGCACTCCTGGATTCAGGATGCTTGGAGAAAAGCTGCCAAGACACTCCAAAAATGTGTCAGTGGGTGACGGGTCGGTGAGCCAGGACAAGCGCCCGGCTCCTGGGAGATGAGTAAACCACGGCATGAGGGCCAGGGTGGCAACTGGGGGAGATGAGCTATTTACTCTGTGGGGAGCATGTCGGGAAAACACTGTAGAGTGAGAGTTCAAGGACTCTGTTTTGTTGTGTTAGGGGGGAAAGGATGTCCCAAAGCTAATTCCATACAGGCTTTGTGGACTCCACCCCCACCCCAGGCCAAAGCCAAAGACACTGGGAACTCCAAATCCCATCACCACCCAAGGGAAGGTGGCTGGGACCTGAGGGTGGGGTTAAGCAGCCAGGTTGGTATAAAGCCAGACACGTGAGCTTTGGAGGGGTTCCCCCATTTTGGCTCTCCGCCAGCTCGCAGCGTTCTGCCAGCTCTGAGAGTGCCTTTGGGTTTCCCGGTCGTCGGATCGGGTAGGACGCATTGAAGACTTTATTTCCCTATTTTCTCCCTGAGTTGTACATTTTCCTTATTTCCTTTTCCCTTGTAAATAAACCTTTTATTAACCTTTTGTGTGTGCCTGTAGTGGAGTATTCATAAGTCCCTTGTAAGCGCGCGGGTGAGGACCCACAGCCAGGCAGCCCGTTTTATATAGGGGCTGCTCCATAACAGTTGGATTTAAGATGCTACTGAGCCCCGCAGTTAGGTGCGAAGTAGGTAGTGGAGGTGCCTCCTCTACCCCCTCCCCCCAACACGCGAGGCACCCGCCTCCTCGGCCCACCCCGTGACCCCTTTGTGTCTCGCCATCCCGCCCTCCCGTCCTCCCCGCGACCACGTGAGCGCGCCCACCCGGCCCCGCCCACAGCGCGGTCACATGATCGGGTCTACGCGCGGCGTCTGCGTCACGTGGGCGGACCAGTCACGTGACTGGCGTTTCAGGGACTCCCGGCGCGGAGCCGTCCTAGGTCTCGGACCTGCAGCTGCTGGAACGTCTGGGTGCCCGACCGAATGGAGGAGGAGGAGGAGGCGCGCGCGCTGCTGGCGGGCGGAGGCGCCCCCGAGGCTCCCGCGGCCCCCGCGGCGCTGCCGGCCCTCTGTGATCCCCGCCGCTTGGCGCACCGGCTGGTGGTGCTGCTGCTGATGTGCTTCCTCGGCTTTGGTGAGCCCCGGGGCAGGGTGGAGGGGCGGTCACGGGGCTCCCACCTTCTCTCCGAGACCCAAGACCCCCTCGTTTACCCCCGGGGTCCCCTTCTTTATCCTCTGACCTTTCTAACTGAACCGGTGAGCGTCCCAAAGGTGGGGTCTGGGTACTGCTCCAGACGGGCTTTGTCCCCACCCCTCAGTTCCGACAAATCCCGGAGGCTGCAACCCGCTCTGGGGCCAGGGGTGTGAGGCGCTCTCCTTATCAGGGCACCTCTCGGGACTTTTAACTAAACCCGTCCCCCATGACACACTTTTTGCCCCTTCCTGTCTGGGAAAACGCTCGAGTCTTGATGGCTTCTTTGAGGGGCTGTGTTGCCTCCTCCGTCCCCTCTGCCTGTGCAGCGTTCACACCGGGTTGAGAATGAAATGATAGACGTAAAACATGATGCAAGCAAAATGGAAGATTAATTGATTAGCCTCTTCATCTAAGTTCCCAATATTTGCTGTATATGCACTTTGATAATTTGTAAATGAGTTGGCATGTTTTTCTTTGGTCATTTGGCTACAACTTAGAAGATATTGATGGACAAGGAAGTCCAGAAAAGTTTCCAGTGTCAGTCTTCTGGCCCCTAATAGGAACAGTTAAAAATCACTTGATAATAATTGTAACTTGAAAATTTTATATATTCTATAAAACTATTATTACTTACAAAATATTTACTCTTTTTCTAGGCAGCTATTTTTGCTATGATAATCCTGCTGCTCTTCAGACTCAGGTTAAGCAGGTAAGTTGATTTTTCACCTTTGTTTCTTTCATCAGCTTTAGAGCAGCTGTAGTTGTTGAGAGCATCAGTTTTGAGGTTGGTAGTCTGCAGAGTTAGCCAGTGAATGCATTTTCACATTCATCACCACCACATCCCAGTACTGCAAGGAGTGTTCCTGAGTTGGAATGAGTGACCCCAGAGAATTTATTTTTAGCACTTGGGACTTGACACTGTTTCACACCTGAGATAAATAATTATGGGTTAGTTCCATAATATTGCCAAAAAAGTATTAACAGATTTTTCTTTACATTTCACTTTCCCATTGTGTAATCATTTTGAATGGCAGATGATTTTGGTAAGATAGCCTTTTGCCTTCTTAAATGAGGACTGACAAACAAATACGGTGTTATTTTGTTTTTAAAACATGGGTACTAATTGTTCATGTCAGTATTTTGAGGCTGGTCTTGTAAATATTTTTTGATATTTATAATTTCTTGTGTATTTAGATTATTTTTCACCATTGGACAAGAGAAATGCATACACTGGCCCTTTTAGAATGGCCATATTTTAAAATGAATGAAAAGGAAAGAAAGTAGGAAGAAGTGGGGGCAAGGTAGGGATAGGTGAAGATGATCCTTTTCCAAGTGGGGAGCGCTCCTGTGTAGTTAGTGCAGGAGGAATAAGAAAAGATAGCTGATGTAGGCAGAGGTGCTATCCATAGTGGGGAATCTGATTAATCCTGAACTCCATGGAACTTCTAAAATGACAAGAAGTTCCCAGTTGTACCTAGATGTGACCATTTTTCTGGCACAGCGACCACAGCTGTCATGAAATTCTTAAAATAGTTAGTGACTGCAAATTATTAAGTAACTCCTGACCTGCATATTTGAACGAATGTTTTGGTTTGTTAGTTATTAAACTTAACTGTTTGGAAAAAAATAGTTTTATTTTCTTTCCATATAGGATATGCAGGTGAATACCACGAAATTCATGCTGCTGTATGCCTGGTATTCTTGGCCCAATGTAGTTTTGTGTTTCTTTGGTGGCTTTTTGATAGACCGAGTGTTTGGAATACGGTAAGCTTGAAGAAAAAATCTTATCTATGGGTAAAATCTGATAGGAAAATAAAGAACTGGATTAAGGTTTTTCTGAATAATTTTGTGTATTGAATATGATTTGTCTTAGGGTTTTTTTTTAAAGCTTTTTTTTTTTAATCTCTGGAATTGGCTTTTGAAACTTGGTTGAAATTTTAGTTACGGTGGGGGTTAGTAAATGCTTATTATGGACTAAGATAACTCATCTATCTGAAGGCATATTACGTCCTTATTTGGGATCAGACAAACCAGGGTCTGAATCTTATTGAAAACACTTGTTCAATTTCTGAGCTGCATGTAGTTTCCTGAGCTTCAATTTCTTCATTCGCCAGTGTGGGTACTGCCACATTGTCCTGCCATGTAAGGTGATGATGAGGGTTGAGAGGTGAATGTGCAGTATTGGGTATATATGTCATCTCCTAGCCCCAGCTAGATTTTCTCTTTCTGCCTTTCTTTGGACATCAAACTTTTTGTGACCGCTTCTGTTCCATGCAGAGGCGGGAATGACTATTAGCTTTGTCAGTCTGCCTCCTTAGAATTGTGCGCATGTTGCTAATGGAGACTTTCAGAAGGATACAGAGTGGGAATTTTTTCAGAAGGCGGAGGGCAAAGTAATGCATGGTTCTGCAACTATATCTGGTGGAAAAGGGCTGAAAAATTAAGATTTGACTTGGGGACTAACTTTAAAAAATTTCAAAGTGTATCAAGGAGGAATTGGATTTATTTTGCTTGTTCTAAAGGGATAGCATTAGCATAAAACTTCAGGGAGGCAGATTCCACTTAATATGATGAAGACTCTACTTGGTCAGATTGACAGGAGGGGTCATTAAGTGCTTGGAATGTGGTGAGTTTTCCACTGCTGACAAACTTTGAGTAGTATGTGCTGTGGCTTTTTCACAGGGATTTGAATTGGATTCCGTTTTTGAAAGTATTTTACTCAGCTAACCTATAAGGACTCTTCTGATACTGGCATTTTATTACTCAAGGGAAACATTAGTTAGATATTCAGACTACAGTGTTGGAGTAAGCAGATTTGTAATTTTATTAACAAGGTTGATATTTGTCTTTTTAAAAGTAGTTTTTGGTTATCAAGCATTATAACTACTGAAAAGTGCTTAATATGGAATTCTTTGAAATCAATACTAGACTCTTTATAGAAAAGTTATAAAGAATTTCTATTATTAAATAGGAACCCTGAGAACTTCTTGAATATTACATAATGTGCTTGGTTTCAGAGATGATAATGGCTTAAACTCACATATGCTGTCACTCAAACCTTGGAATCCTCAGAAATCTAGAGGATTTATTTCTTTAACTGAATATATTTGACATATACCCTTGTATAAATTTGAGGTGTACAGCATGTTAATTTGATGCATTTGTATATTGTAATGTGATTACTATTGTAGTGCTAACTAGCACCTCTATCATATTACATAATTTTCTTTTTAGTGGTTGGAATAAATAAGTTGTAGCCCATTGACCAGTTTGATAATATGGTACAACATTGTTGTCCCAGAGTCTAGACTACAGTATTGTTCAGCCTCGGCCAGCTGCTAACCTCAGAGGCAGACCAGACCTCACTTTTCTTTCCTTGGAGGCAATGCAAAGGGGTCAAAGAAAATGGAAGGGAATTACTACTGAAGAACTTGTTGATGTATTTTAACTCATACCCTTTTCTCCGCATCTCCCTTTTCTCTCTCTCTAACAGATGGGGCACCATTATTTTTAGCTGCTTTGTTTGCATTGGACAGGTAAGAAAGGCCAAAATATCTGTTGATTATATGATAGCAACTTTTGAATTCTTGTTAATTCACCGATAGAGATGTGTTTAATGAATGATTGCCTTAACTAAGCAGGGTCCACAGATGTCCATGTAGCATAATGCAAAGTCCGTTTCAGCCTAAAGATATATGAACATTAAAACTCTCAAAAAATAACATAATCTGAATTAACATAACAACATAAAGCCTATTAACTAGCTTATCAAGTTTCAAATTTCCCAGATTGACTGAGGATATTAAAAACACTGTAGAAGTTGTGATTCATTACTTATTTCTCAAGTGTCTTGAATTCAATTTTTCATTGATTTTATGTATATTCTGCATTATAGGTTATTTTTGCTCTTGGTGGAATATTTAATGCTTTTTGGCTGATGGAGTTTGGAAGGTTTGTGTTTGGGTAAGTATTATGTCATTTCATTTATCCTGGTATATTATTTAGTGTTCCTATGTTAATTTATTACAGATTTACTAAAATGTATTGGGGATTTTTGGGAATTGCTTTGAATCCTTGAAATATAATTACGTAAATGTAAAACTGTTGCTTTAGCAGTAATTTCATGTGGTCATTGTTAACTCTGTATCGAATTTGGATATTAAATAATTCTTCAGAAATAGCATTATTTCTAGGTGCTTGCTTTTCTGTTGTATTGAAGACTATGATTTAAATCTCATTTAGACACGTATGGACCATTCATTTCTACACTGGTGATTCATGAATGTTTTGCCTGTTTCCTAGTGGGTCAGATACAGGCTCTTTTGAATCCTGTGAAGAGGTTTAAATGAGAAAATGCCAGTAGACTGACCAGTCTTCTTGAATTTCATTTTCTGTTCAGTAAATCTATTCTTAGTCCAGTCTTGGGCTTTCTGTCCGAGGAACTCAGATGACATGCCTCATTCAATCTGTAAATTAAAAGTAGAACATATTGCAGCCTTTTCACAGGTACCAGAAACAGGTAGACATGTGATAACCTCCCCAAAAATACTCTTAGTGAGGGGGAAGGAAACCAAAAATGTGTATAAAAATATGAAAGGGATTCAGAAGTGGAAGTGTGGTCAGATGTGGCCTCGTGGATAAGGTGGGCCTTGACAGCAGTACAGGATTTGGATTGGCAGAAGAGCGGGAAAATATTTTTGCCTAGGACAGAGTAGTGAGGAGGGCCCTGTGTCAGGACACAGGTGGGGAAGCTCCTGAGGACTTGGCCTGGAAGGGGACTGGTCAATATATAGACCCAAAAGAAGGAAAGTTACAACCCAGAAACAGGAGAATGTCAAATATAGAAGTTAATTGGGCTGAAAAGTGTTGAATATTTGTGTTTTCACAAAGTCTAGCCTACTATCCATACATGAATTTTTTTATACAATGTGAATGCCGTCGTGGTAATCCAGGCTCTCTTTATTGCCCATGTTGGTGGTTATCTCCTCCTATCACCTTTCCCCAGCACTCAGCAGTAAAGAACAGCCAGTTCACTGTGTTCATGGACCAGAAATTTGGACAGGATGCAACATGGTGTCTTGTCTGTGCTAGCAATGTCTGGAGCCTTAGTTGGGGGCTGGGGTCGTGGAAAGCTCCTTGGCTGTTGCTTGACTGCCACTGGGCCCAGATGCTTGAAGACTTGTGCTCCCAGCTGGAACGCATGAGTGTGGCCTCTGTGGCTTGCTTTCTCACAGCTTGGTGAACTCCGGGAACTTGAACATTTCCTAAGGTATCCCTGGGCTCCAAATTTGAGCATTGGCATTTTGTGACCCAGTCTTGGGATCTCACACAGCTCACAAGCTCACGTCCACTCTATTTTTTTTTTTTTTTTTTAATAGAGGCATGTTTTTATTTATTTATTTATTTGTTTGTTTGTTTCATTTATACATGCACTGGGTACAGTCAGAAGTGCGGGAGGGTGAGAGGATTCACCAGAGCCAGAGCGGGGAGCAGAGCAGGTAGAAGGACCGAAGTACACTGCTGAGGGGAGCAGCGGGCGGCAGGAGAGGTCTGCACGCCATGTGGGACCCTCCTCCGGTGGTCGGGGAGCAGCCGGGGATCGAACCGGCGCCGCAGAGGCCGCAGGCAGCTTCGCAACCCAGCGCTCAACCACTGCGCCACCGGGGAGGCCCACACGTCCACTCTATTTTATTTGCTGTGCTCACAAGCTCATGTCCACTCTGTTCTATTTGCCAAAGCCCACCTAGATTCAGGGAGAAGATATAAACATCCTCTCCACCCCATTTTGAAAAGAGGGTGTGTCAGAATTTTAAACCTGCATTGCTATCTGGTATTTCTTTAAAAGCTGTGTCTTTTTCCTTTTCTCATTTATAGGATTGGTGGAGAGTCATTAGCAGTTGCCCAGAACACATACGCTGTGAGTTGGTTTAAAGGCAAAGAACTGAACCTGGTGTTTGGACTCCAGCTTAGCATGGCTAGAATTGTAAGTGTCACAAACCTAATGAAGGCAAATAGGAAGCAAAAGGATGACATGTGTTTGTGAATTATGCGTGAGGTGTTGATTTTTTTTAAAGATTTATTTTATTTATTTATGCATACAAGAGCTGGGGTGTAGGCTAGAGTTGTGGTGGGGGAGAGTGAGAGGATTCTCCAGAGACAGAGTGGGGAGCTGAATAGGCAGACTGACTGAAATACACTGCTGAGGGGAGCAGCGAGTCAGGAGAGGTCTGCGGCACCATGTTGCTCCCTGGCTGGGGATCAAACTCGTGTTGCAGTGACTACTGATACCTTCATAGTGCTGAGACTTAACCCCTGGCGCCACCAGGGAAGTCCATGAGATGTTGATTTTTAACCTATTTTCTGTACACCACAGTATAGCATTTATCTTACTTTAATTAAGGCATGTCTAACCTTATTTCACTTAGACAGTTGTCTGTGACAGTGAATTGAGCATTCATTAGTTCAGGGAGTCTGTGCACTGGGAGGCTTTCACAGGCTTTATAAGCAGATTTCTTCCCTGTGTCCACCATGCCCGCTATGTGGGTCTCCACGTGTGGTTCTCAGGCTGTGTGCAGGCTGGTGGTGTATTGTGTTCAGGTGCTCATCTGCTCTTAACTTTCTGAGGCTCACCCTCACACAGAGATGAAATCTGCCTTCACAAGTACCTTTTACCACTTGTCTCGACCTTTGGCCCCTAGTTAATGTTTGCTCCACTGCTGTGTGCCAGTGCTTGGCTTGTGGAGGCAGTGCTTGCGTTCTTGGTCAGACATGCTCACTTCTATTGTTGGCTGCACCAAATGGCGTGGTAGTTGACTTCCTGGCCCTGGTGCTCGCTCATGCCTCTTGGGACTTAGCGTAGGGACTGGTCCTCCTCTGAGCATTTGGAACATGGAGGTATCCTGGTGTTTCAGGTTTGATTTGATAGAAAGTTCTCCAAAGAATCACACCATACATTTATTAATACAACCTTTAAGGGGTTTCCACAGTCCCATTAGGTTCTTCCTCATAAACTTCTCTAAAGAGAGGGTTTTTTAAAAAAAAAATCCTTGCTATTAAAAAGTATAGGTTCTGAGAGTAATAGGTGGCATGAAAATGCTTATAAAATTCTTAGGGAAGAAGAAACCCAATAAAAAAGTTTTTAATGTATTTAGCTTTTGAAATGTATAACACATACACGTCCCAGCAGACATCTGCAGTTCTGTACACCTAGATTCCTTCTAATCTGTCACTACTCTAAGTAGTCCTGTCACGTAGCAAGTCTGTGAAACGTATCTGTATGTCTGTTCCTTACTCTTGGTTGCTGGGAGTGCAATCATTGAGTTAGAGGATTTCTTGAGACTGTTGAAATGTTTTTCCACAAGTCTTCTCAGGTGTTTGCATTCCTGTGACGGGATGTGAAAGGCTCGTTTTTATTATTGTTTTGATAGTATAGACTGTTATTTAAAAAAGTTACTCTATCAGTTTGGGAGAAAGCACCTCAACATTACTTTAATTTTAATTCTTTGATAACTTGTGTGGTTTCCCATGTTTTCTACGTTCAGCTTACAACAGCGTCTTGAATGACTTCATGGTGTGTCTTGGGCTGGTGAAATGTGTCATGACTGTTCGTGGATCTCATTATCCCATTTCTCAAAGAACAGCACTTTTCAGTGATCTGTCATGGGTACCAGTGACTTGTGTCTTCTAACCTATGAAGGTGGCCGTGCCCCAGGACTTGGTGTTGGGGCAAAGGTTCTCTTTTCTTTGACTCTCATCTCCTTGATGATCTTGTCTAGTTTTGCGACTTCAGATAGCATTTTTTGCTCCTGAATTTGTCACTTTTACTGTACTTCTGAATTCAGTTGATTGTGTAACTTGCTCCCTGACATTTCATCTTGGGTGTCTGGTAGGCACAGCAGCCCTACGTGCCAAAACCCAGGTCTGGGTATTCCACCTGCTGCCCCCAAACTAGCTCAGCTGCGGATTTTTCATTCTCAGCTATGGGCAGCTTTGCTTTTCCAGTTAATCAGGTAAAACCTTTGTTGTCATCCTCAACTCCTCTTTCCTTCTCTCCCCCTTGTTTTCCATTAGTAAGTCTCATTATCTTTGCCATCAAAACGCATCCATATTCTGACTACATCTTGCTACACCTGCTGCTGTCCACCCTAGACTAAGACCTGTCATCCTTGCAGTGGCCCCAACCTGTGTTTTTTCTTCTTTCTGCCTTTGTTCCCACTTAGAGTCTGTGTTGAATGTAGCAGCCAATGCCAGCATATTCAAACTGAAAAGGATAGTAAGTACCATTTCTCTCTTCAACAGCCAGTGACTCCTTTCTCCCTTTCTTTTCGGAAGTCCTCTATCCCCTGCCCTCCTCGTCATTCCTTGTGCACACTGGGCAGCCTCCCACTTGGGACCTGTGCACTGGCTGTTCCTTCTATCTGGAATGCTTTTCCCCCAGATATGCTCACAGCTGACTAGCTTCCAATGTTCACCCCAGAATCACACTCTTAGACCTCCACACCCAATGTTATACTCCTTTGCTCTCCTTTATTTTGCTCCTGATTTTTAAGCACTTGCTTCTTTAATATTTTAAATGTTTCACCTCTTTTCCCCCTCTACAATGTAAGCTCTGTGGGAGCTGAACCTTTTTCTGTTCTTTATTGTTTTCCCAATACCTGGAATAGTAGCTGGCATGTCACCAGGGCTTAGTAGTTGCTAAGTCAATTCAGGATATTATGTACTATAACTTTTATTGTCTTAAGGATATTTAATGGATGAATTTTCTTTTCAGATGTCAACACTAGGAAAAGCTGTGCTTTTTCTGAGCTAGTATATCTTTGTGTTAGGTACTCTGTGAATTTGGTAACTCATTGTATTTCATTTTTGCTTTGACTAAAGCTGTAAACATACTGTTATTTTGTAGACTAGTGTTTTCTACAGATTGGCATTGTTTTATATAGTAACTTTGTTTTTCCTTGCAGTATATGTTTTTTTAAATTATCTCTTGTTTAATCTGTATCCTAATATACCTATTTTCTAAACCTCCTCAAATTTATTTTTTTCTTTTAACAAGGCAGAAATATAAATGAAAATTCCATTTTTTTCCTTCTTTTTCAGGGAAGTACAGTGAACATGAACCTCATGGGATGGCTGTATTCAAAGATTGAATCTTTGATGGGGTCTGCTGGTCACACGACCCTTGGGGTCACCCTTATGATCGGTTAGTCCTGATGTCCTACATTTGTCTCTCTGAAAGCTTGTCATAGGAAGTACTGTGGCAGAGAGGAATGAGCACTGGAATCTGGATTGACAACTTTAGTTATAGTTTTCCCTTCACAGGCCCTTAGTTTATTTGGCCTAACTAGAAATACCACATCATTCACTGTTCTAATTTCCGCTTTCTTAAGGTGGAAGTTTTTGTCCTGCCTTGTCTACTTCAGCATTGTTCTAATAAGCAAATGACATTGTATATGTGAACATTTGAGAACAGTTAGCAAAGTGAAAATAGCTGAAGGAGAATTGTCTTCTTTTGATTAAATTTAGTTTGTATGCTTAGACACCTTTGATTTTATAGAAATCAGGTGACCTTATTGGTTGAAAATCCACTAAGTTGGAGTCAGGAACCTAGCTTCTAGTCTTGGCTCTTGCTACTACTGTCATTGTGGACACGGAAGTTAGCCCCTGCCTCTCAGTTTCTGTAAAATTCCTGGTGTTTGAGCAAAATCGGGTAGTTCCCCCTGGCCCCAAGTTGTCCTAGTTGGAACTCCATCTGCTGGTTGATGGGTGGTCACTGTGCTTTTTTCCCGAGCAGTGGGTTTCTCTAACTGAGCCCCACATGGTGGAGGGGGGGGTCTGCCTGAGAGCCCTAGACTCCTGTGAGATGGTTGGTGAATGTTCTGTGCTGCCTACTTCTGCCTGGTAAAGGGGGGACAGTGAAAAGTTGACCCTAAACAGGCAACTTAAATCTATAGTCGTCTTACTCTTCTCCCTTCCCCTTTAGTTCTTTGCTTCACTTAGAGAACCTCTTTTTTACTCTCACATCCACTTCAGTGTTCCTTCTACTTCCCTCACCATGGAGAATTTGAGAATTTGAATACATTTTGGAGTCAGAAAAGACCTGTGTCATCAGAAGTCAACATTTCTTATTTCACAGATGGGGAAATTGAAGCCCAAGATGATGTCCAACCAAGTTCATTCAGCTTGTTAGTGCCAAGAGTAGAACCCATGTCTTCTGGCTCTCAGTGGCTTTTCAACAGGACCATATTATGTCAGCCAGTTAAAGATTTGTTCATTTTACTAAGTGTCTTTCAGAAGTTCTTGAAATGTAAACTGTATTCATGCTTTATCCTGATTTGTTTTAATGATATGAGAGCAGCAGTAGTCAGTAGTGTTGATATGCAAAGGAGAGAGCAGAGTGGGCTATGGGGGATGGGGTGTGCCCTTTGGGCTGCTGGAGTGGAGGAGCCAAGGGTTATAGGCTTCGGGAAGGAATCAGGAAAATGAGTGATCACAGAATTGAAATTTTCTTTGTAGTTAGTTCCCCCTGGCATCCATCAACAGTTGGTGCTTAGACTGAATTAAGAAATTAGGACTGATTTGCTGTTGGTCATCAGCTCTTCTCCGTCTCTTCTGCTATACCAGGCTAGCGAGTGTGTTCCCTCTACACTCCCGCCTTCTCTTGGGAAATAGTGTGGTGACATGACCACTGTTGTTGAGTGCTCGCCTTAGTCCACTCCCCCACCCCCACGTACTGGGCCTGATTAGTAATCATAGGCTTTCCTCACACGTGGCCCAGAAGCCATCCTCTTCAGTGCTACATTTCTTTTTTTTTTTTAATGGATTGAGTCAGTTTCTATAACAGAAACATTCCCTATAACTGTTTAATTCCTTTAAAAAGTGAATTTTCAGATGGAAATTAATAAATATCTTCTAAGATAAATGAAATAACATATCCCTCAATATCTGGGGTAATTTGATCTGACAAAAAAAAATAAGTATATTGACATCAGGTATATAAATCAATGCCTGTATCCTTTATTTCTTTTGTGTGAATAGTTTATAGGTCTAAATCCCCTCTGAGAAGATAAAGTTGTTATTTTGATGATATAGTAACTTTGTTTTATTATTATTTTTTTATTAATTAAAATTTTTTTTTATATTGTTCATTTTTAAACAATATTTGCTTCCCCCCACCTCCTCAGGTGTAGTCCCCATGGAATTTCCTTCCCCAGTGCACCATCACCTCAGTCCCCTGTGCTCCTTTCTCCCTCCCTCTGATCCCTCTCCCTCCTCATCCCTTGCAGTATGTCTTTGATTTATAATTGCCTGTTTTTGCTTTGTTGTGTCCTTATAGCAGTAAGAATGGCACATGTTAAAAAAAAACTAGCAATAACAAATGTTGGCGGGGATGTGGTGAAAAAGGAACTCTCCTGCCCTGCTGGTTGGAGTGCAAACTGGTCCAGCCACTATGGAAAGCTGTCTGGAGATTCCTCAACCTGCTAAAAATGGAGCTACCATATGGCCCGGCAATTCCACTCCTAGGGATCTACCCAAAGGACACAAAAACATTGATTTAAAAGAGCACCTGTACACCTATGTTTATTGCAGCACTATTTACAATAGGTAAAACCTGGAAACAACCCAAATGCCCAAAATAGATGCCTGGATCAAGAAGATGTGGCATATATACACAATGGAATATTATTCAGCAATCAAAAAAGATAAACTCATGCCAGTTGCAGCAACATGAATGGAACTAGAAGGAATTATGCTCAGTGAAACAAGCCAGAAGGAAAAAGAAAAATATTGGTTGGTTTCATTTATAGGAGGAATATAGGGGAACCAAATAAGACATGAGTGTAAGAAATAATAATAGAACAAAACACAACAAAGCAAAAACAGTGCTACATTTCTGCTATTGATGTGACCTGACCTGTCACCTTTTAGGATCCTGCAGTCTGGTTCTCTTTGTAAAAATCTCTTTTTTTTTTTTTTTCAGGGGGTATAACCTGTATTCTTTCACTGATCTGTGCCTTGGCCCTTGCTTACTTGGATCAGAGGGCAGAAAGAATTCTTCATAAAGAACAAGGAAAAACAGGTAAATCTAAATAAAGGAAAATGGGACTTTGGAGGAATTGATCTTTTTGAGATAATTTACAATGAGATAAGCTCCTAGTGCAGTGTGTTAAACCCAGTGAGGCTTTAATACAGCTTTTTAATCTTTTATTTCCAATTTTATCTACACTGGTTTGTATTTTTGGTACTTTTCCCCCTAGGTATCTTTTTTAAAATTTTGGTGTAGAAGAACTGAGGTGTAGGCCAGGGTGCAGGGTGAGGTGGGGGGGTTGTGCTGAGGGGATTCACCAAAGACAGAGTGGATAGCAGAACAAGTGGATTTACTGAAATACACTGCTAAGGGGAAGCAGTGGGTGAGGCAGGAGAGGACTGCTGTGCCATATATGGGTTAGTTCCCTGGCTGGGGATCGAACTAAGGCTATAGCAGTAAGACTTAGCCCCTTGGCCACCAAAATTTATATTCTTGTTTATACTTTGTATTTGCAAAATGGTGTGAGTCTCTGGAGGGAGCAAGAAGGTAGGTTCCACTTTTAGGTTTTATTTTTTCTAAAGTCTTTTTAAAGTATCCCAGAAAATCTAGTCCAGTAATTTACTGAGAAAAAGCATTTTTAAAACTGAATTGCAAAGTTCAGTTACATGATAAGAAGAGAAACAATTTTGACTTAGGTGTGCAAATTTATTGACAGCCTTTCCCTTTTCTCAGGTGAAGTTATTAAGTTAACAGATGTGAAGGACTTCTCCTTGCCCCTCTGGCTCATATTCCTCATCTGTGTCTGCTATTATGTTGCTGTTTTCCCTTTTATTGGGCTCGGGAAGTGAGTATTCTTTAGCATTCCTTTTTTGTTGGTTTAATTATGAGAATTCAATTTCATAAATGTAGTTTTTTAAGTTGTAAGTCTTGCTTATGTAGCTGTAGATTGGATTGTGCACAGGAGATGTTTAACCTCTTGGCATACTACTGACTTTCACAGTTTAAGGTTTAGTTAGTATTGGTTTAATACTCCCGTTATTCTTTTGAAGAAATACCTCAGTACAGTTTTCGATTCGTAATACTGATTGATTGTAATATTTGATTTTGGATTAATACTTTTATTCCCTCTCTGTTCCTGGGTTGGGAGGCCTCTTATTGAGGACAGAGGCAATGTACTGGCTCCTGGTGACCTGGCACATCTTCATTTGCTAGGATTATAATTTGTTAGACTCAAATTCAGGGTTCAAATAAAATCTTTATCTTCTATCCCTCTCCCCTTTTTCTATCAGTAGCCACTCAAACAGAGCAGCGTGTGGTCTGTTTGTGGGCTGTGCCTAATGAAAACCTTTAAATTCAGGTTGTTGTGAATAACTTGAGACAAAAATTTTATGTAGCAAAGAACCTACCCAGCACTGCTTTTAAGGACAAGCAGTAGTTCTAATTTCCTGGAGTAGTACATTTTTCTGAAAAAATATGTATACTTTTGTTGTATATGTAAAATGGGAAAACAAGTAGGCATTAGCATGTTTTACTTAATTAGTGGAATATATACACAAACAGTAAATTTTGGCTGGTGGCTTGAAGATGAATCTCAAATAAGATAGGACTTATTTGAAAAGGGGAAGATTATTTTTATTCAAAGAAGGGAAGATTATTTTTATTCAGCTTTATTTTACCTTTGATTTTGAAAAATAGGGCAATTCTGTCTAAAGTGTTTATCTCTTTTTATTTTAGAGTTTTCTTTATAGAGAAATTTGGATTTTCTTCCCAGGCAGCAAGTGCAATTAACAGGTATTTCATGAATTCTGTCAGTGCTTATTGCTTGTATAGTGTGAGTCTTTAATTATAACCAAATGTAATAAGAGACAAAGATGTATGTGACTTTGTGAAACCAGAGTGTGAAACTAAGACTATAATGGGACTTGAATCCTGAGTGGCTTTTTTTTTTGCTTTTATGGACAATCAAGAAGTCTTGGGCTGCTGTATATATTTCTGTTTTTGATGACCATTTTAGATGAATGTGAAATGAGCTAGAATTTGTTTTCTAATCTAATGGCTTTAAGAACTTCATCAGATTTTTGCCTGTAACCTTGATGCATTTCATCAAATATTTTGTGTTCTCTGGGCAGTGTCGTATATGTCATATCAGCTCCCATGTCCCCAGTATTTGGACTCCTGGTGGATAAAACAGGAAAGAACATCATCTGGGTCCTGTGCGCTGTGGCTGCCACGCTTGCGTCCCACATCATGCTGGCGATGACGTTGTGGAACCCGTGGATTGCCATGGTAACACCGCCTGTAATTCAGGGGCTCAGGGCTTCAGGAGGACTCTGTAAAGTGCAGCCCTCTGATGGTGGTGCTTGTGACAGAGGGGAAAACATGGGCTTGATTTCAGTTTCCATGAATAACTATTTTTAAGGTGTAAATATTAATTATTAACATGTTAGGCATTTTAAATTGTATTTGCCTTGTTTAGACAGGGTAATAACTTCAGTGCTAAAGTAGCATTTAAAATAAAATTGTCTTATTAAAGCCTAATTGTCTTCGATTCATGGTAGGTCAAAAAGTGATAGTTAATTCATCAAGTTTTCTTGCTGGTCTTCAAATGTTATTTTTAAGAACACAGATTGAAGCGCTGCATTTCTTAACCTGTTAGTAAAGGAACATCTTAGATATTTGTGTACTTGGTGAGAATCCTGTAGGATAGATTCTAGAGTAGAAATGCTATAGCTGAGGCTTTGCACATTTAATGTCTTGCTAGGTATTGGGAAACTCCTCCAATAATTTTCTACCACTTTATAGGTTCACCAATAATAATGAATGTTTCCTTTTAGCCGTTACCATTATTGGAAATCGGCATTATTTTAATCTTTGCCAGTCTGATAGATAGCAGTGATCTTAACTTACAAGGTTTATTTTTTAGTGAAGAAAAAGTCAGCTTTAGGCGATGTTTACCAGCCAGTGGTGGTTATGGGTTATATCCCTCTTTGTTCGGTGTTGGTGACCCAGAGGTAAGATGATGTTTGCTATAGGTGTGATACTGTCTTGATTGCTTAATTCAAAATTCCTAGTAAATACTTGAGTGTTAGTTAGCCTGAAACATTGATGAAACTTCCTTTGCAAGTTAGCTTTGTTTTCTCTATCCTGGACTCAGCCAGTTACATAGAATAAACTCTATAAATGGTTCGGACAGTGTGAGTACGTTTTGTCACTAGATCCTATTAGAGAGGGACATGATTTTTTGTGTGTTGAGTGTGAGTTTCAGCATAATTGCAATCAAATCTGCCTGAGTATTCCACATTAACTGTTATGTTACTCTTGCTATAGTCTACATCTAAGGAAAACTTCCTGGTTAATAGAAGACTTAACTATTTCCACACTACCTCCTGTAGAGTCTCCTGGGAGTCTCCTATTCATTGCTTGCCTGTGCTTTGTGGCCAATGGTGGCGTTTGTTGTTCCTGAACATCAGCTGGGAACTGCATATGGCTTGTAAGTGTTTGCATAGAGGATGTACATTGTCTTTCTGTGCTCTGCAAACTTAATTATTACCTGAAACTGCAGGTCTCCTGGATCTTGTCATCCCATGCTTCTGGGTCAGCGCTGAAAAGTCTGTCCCATAACTGGGAAATAACTAGAAAAGTCATTTAATCTATCTATTGCGGTAACAAAAAGTAGTCCAAATCTCCACCAGAAAACTAGAGTTCTAAGGTTCGCTGATACTATCGTCCCACTATCCAGTTATTTGAGGGCTTCTCAGTGAGAGTGGAGGTTCTGGCCCAGAAGGTGAAAGGGGGAGCCACACTTGTGGTTGATACTCACCTTGCCCTGTATTTCTGTCACTGGGCAGTTGAGCTAATACTGCATTGCATAAGAGTAGCGTCTTTTAACATTATCTACCTTACCAGAAAGGCCAGTACCATTAAACAGTCTTGAGATAAATACCAAATCTAATCAGGTTGAAAGCATCTTTTTACACTAAAAGTATAAAAAAGTATATGGTTTATGGATATTTTTACAGTGAATTTTTTGTATTTGAAGAGATTTGAAAGTTAAATGTGTTATATTCCTTATAGCATGCAGTCCATTCAGAATCTTGGGTTGGCAATTATTTCCATCATTGCTGGCATGATACTGGATACCCGGGGATATTTGTTTTTAGAAGTTTTCTTCATTGCCTGTGTTTCTTGTAAGTATGACAGAGGGGAAAACATGGGCTTAGTTTCTTGTAATATGTAGTAGAATATAATCTTATTTATACTTTGGGGTTTTTCTCGTTAGTTTCTCTGACTCTTTTAAATCAAATTCCTAGAATGTATTTGTCATATTTACCTAATTCTTAGGAGTTTCCTGTCCTAAAAGGCAGCAATATAACTGCTTTATATTTTGTTTTAGATAATTACGGTTTTTAGAAAGCATTTTCCCTTTCAAAGTAGAACTATTTGAAGTGTCTTGAGTTATGTCCCTTAATGTGGATATGGACATCAGTGTGATTTGGGTGTGAGTGCTCATGATTTATTACCCAGCTTTAAATTGCTTTTATTCTGTTACTATTTAATATTTACCTGTAATGGTTCGTTGGTTAAAATAGGAAGCATTAGGAGATTGGAGATACTGCTCATCAATCGTGTTCATCTGAAAAATCCTCACATAACATACTAGGATGTCTTTTAAATTTCAATAATGTGTTTAAAATAACAAACCCCATTGGTGATTTTATCAGATATCATTTTCATTTATAGGTGATAAAGAATGTTTGTACTTGAAATGTGGTATTTACAGATAATTGCTTATGAATAATCTAAGTGGATTTTATTACCTCATAATTTTAGAAATAAGCACATCAGATTTTAAAAAGTGAGTCACATAATTATTCAGAATATCAGTCATGAAAGTATTTTTGTCTGTTCTTAATGCTGCATCAGTGTGGTTTATTTCAGTGTGCAGTTTTGTATGTATTTGGTTCTCAAACTAAGTACCATGCCATTTGAAAGTGTTTCTGTTGCTCTATTAATTTAAAATTAATGAAGTGTGCCTCAGTAGTGAAGGTAAAAAGATGAACACTTACGTTCTGAGGTCTCACTGACTTAGGGGATTCTGGAAATCTAATGACCACAATCTAATGTTAAGATAATTTGTGTAGAGGATATAAAATCCCCAAAAGGTTACTTCTGTTGGACTTTCCGTGTAATGAGGCAGTCCAGAGACTGGCAGGAGTTTTGAGAAGAGCTGGGAAGGGCTAGCACTTAGAAAGGAACAGGACAGTGGGACAAGGGTGACTGTGGTTGGGGTTCTGCTTTTCCAGTGGGGAGGTCTCAGCTTCCCTGTTGTGGCCCTGCCATTCCTGGTCGCAGATAGCTCATGGAGAAAATGGCGTATAACTTATTTTTAGTGCTTTTGGGAAATAATGTGAATAGCATTTTTATTTTTAAATTCCAGTTAATTCCAATCTGAGTTTACTTTGTAATTATAATAATGTAGGAATCATTGAGCAAAAGTGCAATTTTTTAAATACCTTTTTTTCATTTCTAGTGTCACTTTTATCTGTGGTCTTACTCTATTGGGTGAATCGTGCCCAAGGTAAGTACAGGCTCTGATATTTTCTTCTTAAACCCGTTTCATCATCTTGTTGAACAGTCTGCATGCTTATTTGGAGGCCAGTGCTTTCGGTCATGCATTTAATGACCTCCGTTAATAGCATGGAAGCACGTTTCATAATGAAACATAATTGTGCATTTTGGATATCCTGATTTACTTAAATTTTTGTTATGTTCTTTTTGGCCAGTTCAATTTAATTTTGCAATATAAAATTTTGTATATTATTTTTATATTAGCATAAAACACTATGGCATTTAAAAAATAATTGAAAGCCTTTCATGTATTATTACTTTATGTTAAAAAATTAATTTGTAACTGCAGGTTATGCTTCAAAGTTGAAAGTGTTGGCATAGATGAGAAAATGCAGATTTTCTCTTTTGCTAATAAATACTGGCCACAGTTACTTGTGCTATTTTCTTAGTTTTTTCAATATGGTTTTAATGCTACCCTTATTAATTTTTCTAACTGGCTTGCACCTAAAAGGTTGTTATATAGTTGGGAGACTGTAATACACATGCTGTTTAAATTTTTAGGTCATTTCTCTTAGTTTCTCTTAATTTTCAGTTACTGTATATTAATACAACATTCCGATTAATAAAACCTAAAACACTACATTAAAAAAACACTGCTAAAGTTAAGGAGTGATTATTTCTATCTTATAAGGAGTCTCATATTCTAAAGGATTCATAAAAAAAACACTTAAGTCACTTGAGAAGATACCAGGAGAGAAACTATGTCTTTCTGATCTTCCATAGCCTTTTCTGTTAATAGTTATATTGAAAAGATTTCTGTACTTATTTGTGTTTTAGGTGGGAACCTAAATTATTCTGCAAAACAAAGAGAAGAAGTAAAACTTTCCCATACTGAGTAAGTATTGAAAGAGAAAAAAGTTGTTTTTATTTTGAAAATCATAAGCATTAGCATTTCTTTTCAAATGTTTTTGACTTGGGCTTTTAAGAAATTAGTTGGTCTTCCCTGGTGGCACAGGGGGTTAAAGTCTCAGTGCTAAAAAGCTGTTGTTAGTCACTGCAGCATGAGTTCGATCCCCTGCCAGGGAGCTAACCCACATGGCGCAGCAGACCTCTCCTGTCTCTCCCACTGCTCCCCTCAGCAGTGTATTTCAGTCAGTCTGCCTGTTCTGTTCCTCACTCTGGCTCTGGTGAATCCTCTCACCCTCTCCCTCCGCTCCCCACCTCTGGCCTACACCCCAGCTCTTGTATGCATAATTAAATAAAATAAATCTTTAAGAAAAAATTAGTCTATTGGGTTTTGAGAGCTAGTGCTTATCACTGGAATTGCTTTAACAAAATTCTTTTTTCAGAAAATTAAAAAAGTGGATATTAAGGGTCAAAATAAAGGGAAAAATAATTGGGTTTTAAATTGCCTCCTCAGAAGAGACTGTATAGTATTTGTGTAATTTCTGGGAGGGTAGATTTCTGTCTTAAATACCTGTGCTGGGCTCATCCTTTATTCTCTTTTCCTTTTCTTAACTAGTTGAGATAATTCTTCATGTTACCTGGTGTTAACGTGTTATATTCTGTGTTCTCTGACATATTTGGAACAGATGTGTAGTGTGACTTTTAAGTTAAAACTTTTCCATGAGTATATGCTAAAATATAATAGTGATCCTATTTCCTGGTATTTATATTTTTTTAGGCCATTGAAATTTTCATGTTTTAAAAAACTAATTTGTAAATATATATCATGTGACTTTCGTGAATTTTGAGTAGGTTAAAATCTGATAGAACAGGTTGTGATTTTGGGGGGTATAATTCTTGGCCATTTCAAATTCCCTTTTAAAATAATTCTAGAAACACATTTTAAGAACATCAGAAGTTTTTAATTAATTTATGAATACATGAACTGGGGTTTACGTCAGAGTTTGGGGGGGTGAGAGGATTCGCTGAGACAGAATGGGGAACAGAACAGATGGATCTACTGAAATACACTGCTGAGAGGAGTAGTGGGCGAGGAGAGGTCTGCTGCGCCATGTGGGTTAGCTTCCTGGCTGGGGATTGAACTCATACCACAGTGACTAGCAATAGCTTGATAGCACTGAGACTTTAACCCCTGTGCCACCAGGGAGGCCCAGAAGTATATAACTTTTAACTATCTTTATGGCAGTCTTGTTTTATTACATCAAAAAATGGAAGCAACATTAATGTTCCGAAGTAGGGAAATGGTTAAATATATTTCTGTATAACATATTGTTATAATCATGTTTTAGGAGAGTTTTTAATGTCAGAGATACTTAACATGCCATGTTATGTAAACAAAATATAAAAATTTATCTTCAAAAAATATGTAGGCATGTATATTTCTTAAGCATGTTATTTATATTAAAAAATTCTGAAAGAGGGGAAACCAGAAGGGGAAGGTTCCAGTGGGGTGGGAAGGGGCCCAGTGGAGCATGGTGAGGGCATGGCCCAAAGATAAGCATTTGTGAGGGTTTGGATCTATAACCCCCACAGATGCTATGATGTAAGCCAAATACCTCAATAAACATAATTAAAAAAACAAAAAATTCTGAAAGAATATTGCCAATTCCATTTTAATGCTAGTGTTATAAGAATTTTTTCTTTTTTGCTATTCTGTATTTTCCAAATTTTCTACATTGATTCTATGTTCGTATAGTCAAGAGAAGTTAAAAGACTGTTCTGCAAACTCTAACTTTTTATATTTGTTGCTACATGTTTTATAAAGTTTATGATTTTTATTTTGTAAACCAGATAGAACTTAGTTTTTTTCCTTTTTGATAATTTGTTGCATTATGTTTTGCAGATGAGAAGTTTAAATGACTGTCATGAGTATGGACTGTACACATCATTGGTTGAAACCACTTTTTAAAGATTTAGAATTTAGTCATTAGGGGAAATAATGGTCTGGAATGTTATTGTATTTCAGATATACCTACTTCAAGGTATATTTGTGAGGACTATTTTAGCCTGTGTCTTTGTCTTGTGGGTTACTGAAGAATTCTGCTTTGGAACAGATAATCACAGTGACAAGTTTAGAAGATCTCTCTGGAACGTGCTGATGAACCTCAGTGAGGACAGTAAACCATGGAGAACATTGGGTCTTATATTGAGATGGTTTTCACAAAGTTTATCTTAGGTATATGGTCTTTTCTTTATCTTAAGCAAAGGAGAAAGGTTTTAAGGATATAGAAGGGATGTTTTCTACAGAATAAATGATGGCACTTTAATAGGCATTCATGTTTGTAATAGGAAATCTTTGAAAGATATTTTTATGAAGTGTCTTCATTTTCACAAATAGCAGGTGGTATTCTGCTCTCAGTAAGGTGAGTGGTTGTGGGCAGTGCCCTCTGAGCTGCTTTCTCTCTGTTGCTGGGCTCCCTGACTACTTAGGGACATCTTTTTGTTGTATAAACTTTCTGTACAGTTTTTTTCTTATATATAATTAACAACTAAAAAGTATTCTTTAAATAATAATAATTGTATCTACATGGGTAAATAAAAATACTGTAAAAGGAATATTTGATGACTTTTAACTTTTGTTTTTTAAAAACATATAAAAACACTGATTTTGACTCTTACTCATGTGGAGGTTATCTCTTTAAGAAAATATAAGTTGGAATAAAGAAAATTTGTCTGAATAATCACTGAAGAATATGGGAGTGGCCTTTTCTCCAGAATAGGGCCTTAGGTAACACTTACATTTTTTACATTTATGTTTTATTTTCTTTAAAAAGGATTTCTCTGACCTTTGTTTACTTGACTTTTAAAAATTGAGCACTTTTTTAATTGATTGAGTCTTGGTATGTTATAAAAGATTTTTCACATGTCTATGGACCCACAGATATTTTTGACAACAATACTAATGTACTTAGTTGACTGTACTGTTTAAAGCACTTGTGTCACATTGTAGGCTTAGAAGTTTGTGTAACTGATTAAAAGTGCATTTTCTTGTTTATTTCCACCCATTTTTCTGATTTACTGTTTATTGTGTCAATATTCAGTTCTTTTGACTTTGATTGCCCTGCAACTGTTGCAGCATCTGGTGGTTGACTGTCAGCCTCACCAGGCCCTACCTTGCGCTTCCCACCACCTCCGTGCCTCCCACCACGTGAGCTGCTTACATTTTCTCAAATGGCTCATGTTACTTCCCTTCATGGGGTTTGTGCCATGCTCTTCCCTTTGTCTAGAATAGTTTATCAGATCCTGATTTACAACAGAAACCCACACCATTCATTCTAGGAAAACACTTCTAGACTCTTTAGCCTATAAGTTCTAAAATTCTTGTTATCTTTGAAAAGCCTTTTTTTTTTTTTCTTTTTAACTTACCTCAATTGTAATGAAGAATTTTGTGATAACCCTGGTGTGGGTGTCTGTCTCTTCCTTTAGACTGTAAGCTCCTTGAGGGCAGTAATTGTCCTTGTTATGTTGATAGTGGTTGTGTACATAGTGCCTGACATGCGGGGTGCACAAAATAAATATTTTTTGAATGATACATAGAGTAAATTGGAATGACCATTCTGGAGGATAAACTGACAAAATTCGTAAAAATTCCTAAAAGGGATGGTGGAGTGCTTACCTGTTGGCTTAATTCCATTTCTAGGTCATTTATCCCAGGAATCAGATAGATATACACATGCATGTAAATATATTTTAACAAAGTGCCTTTATTGCAAGTTTGTTTATAATAACCTAACATAGGAAGCCACACACATGGATAAGAACAGATTTGTTAAGTTTGTTGTATCCCAGGCATAGGGTGAAGTATTAGGCAGTCACTAAGTGGTGTCGTTAATGAGAGCATGCCGACTTGGCCTGGCATTCATGGCATACTTACGTGGATGATTCAGAATGCTGCCATTTTTAGTAAAACAAATGCAAACATGCCTGAAGGGTACTAAGTAAGTCAGGGTCTCTAGGTGGCGACTTTTTCTTGGTTTATATTTTCTAATTTTCAACAATAGTGTGTCATAAACATTTTTTAATATAAATTATTTTATTTTATATAATTCTTACATCATTTTTCATTTTTGCATAATGTATGCATTTTCATTTTGGTTATATTCCCCATACAATTCCCACCCTCTTATTCTGACCCTAATCTCTCTTCTCCTCCCGCTGCTCCCCACTGTAGTGTGTCTCTGGTCTATAGCTGCTTGTTAATTTTGATTTTTTCTTTCTTACAGTTATTCTTTTTCCTGGTCCCTTATTTAGGTTTTCTAGATTCCTGCTATGAGTGAGACCATCCGGTATTTTTCTTTTTCTTTCTGGCTTATTTCGCTGAGCATGATCCCTTCCAGCGCCACCCATGTTGCTGCAAATTGCATGTGTTTATCTTTTTTGATTGCTGAGTAATATTCTGTTGGGTATATGTACCACATCTTCTTTATCTAGTCATCTATTTTTGGGCATTTGGGTTTCCAAAGCTTAGCTATTGTAAACAGTGCTGCTATTTACATAGGGGTGCAGGTGCTCTTTGGAATTACTGTTTCTGTGTCCTTTGGGTAAATACCTAGGAGTGGAATTCTGGATCATATGGAAGCTCTATCTTTAGTAGGTTGAGGAATCTCCACACAGCTCTCCATAGTGGTTGGACCAGTTTGCACTCCCACCAACAGTGCAGGAGAGTTCCTTTTTCTCCACACCCTCGCCAACATTTGTTGTTGCTAGTTTTTTTAATATGTGCCATTCTCACTGGTGTAAGATGCTATCTCATGGTAGTTTTGATTTGCATTTCCCTGATTACAAGTGATGCTGAACATTTTTTCATATGCCTGTTGGCCATTTGCATTTCCTCTTCAGAGAAGTTTCTTTTTAGCTCTTCTGCCCATTTTTTGACAGGATTATTTTCTTTGTTGTTGTTGAGTCTCATCAGCTCTTTGTAGATTTTTGTGATCAGTCCTTTCTCATTAGTGTTGTGTGCAAAATTTTTCTCCCAGTCGGTGGGGTTTCTCTGTTTTGGTTATTGTCTCTTTTGCTGTGCAGAAGCTCTCTAATTTGCTGCAGTCCCAGCTGTTTATCTTTGCCTTCACTACCACTGCTTTGTGTGATGTGTCTGTAAAGATGTCTTTGATGTGCATGTCATGTAGTGTTTCGCCTATATTTCCTTCTATGTATTTTATGGTTTCAGGTCTTATGTCTAGTTCTTTAATCCATTTTGAGTTGGTTTTTGTACATGGTATGAGGTAGTAGTCAAACTTCATTTGTTTGCATTTAGCGACCCAGTTTTCCCAGCACCTTTTATGTAATAAACATTTATAGTAACCTCACAAAGAACATAATTCAGCATGTTTAGTGCTAGTGGTTGAAGTGTATTGTTCAGAGGGGAGAAAGCAACTGTTTTTCCTGAAGGCAGTGGGAGCTTTTGGAAGAGTTTTATGTTGTGGATTGCTAAGACAGGGTTTACGTTTTAGGAAGATGATGCTAGAAATGGAGGGAATAGATTGGAGGCTGAGCATTGGAGCAGGAAAGGAAGGGGATGGATTGGAGCAGGAGAATGGTTAGTGGGTTGGGACAGTGATGCTTGGTTGGGTGAAAATGTGATTATGGCATTGTGCAGTGGGGGAGAGACCAGAATTAAGCATAAGCCCCAGGTCTAACGTGGTTGGTGGTATCATTTCACCAAAAAGACCACAGGCACAAATGAGCAGATTTGGGAGGAAAATGGTCTCAGTTTCTGGCTCAGTGGAATTGCAGTCCCCAAGGGACTGTTGGTTGGACAGAAACAGGTTTGAAATGGGAGGGAGGTTTGGGGGCATCCATGGGATCATCTGGGGAGTTGGTGAGATTGCCACAGGAGGAGCGAGGGAATGAGGAGAAGAGCTGAGGAGCAGAGTGAGTTCTGGGGTGGACCCACCCCCATTTTAGCATGGGAGCAGGGGGAGGAGGAAAGAGAAGCAGGAGGGGGCTTCAAGGAGAGCTTAAGGGAGTGAATGACCTGAGAGAGGTTGGGTGACTAGCTGGAGGGGTCTGACTGCCTGATTTGCAACTGGGAGTCCTAAGTGCCTTGTTCAAAACATTACAGTAGGTGTAGTGGGGGATGGGCAGTAGCTGGCTTGCGAAAATTTGAAGTATGGATTCAAGGTAGAAATTACAATAAAAAGCTTTGCATGTCCTCACAAGAAACTTAGGCTATAAAAGAAGAGAGAACAGAATCTTCTGTGGCTGTTTCTCTGATTATTGAGTTAGTGCTATATAAAGGTCTCTTTGTTAATGCATTTTTCCACTCTTGGACTGGAACATTCTTAGACTCTGGGTTCTTAATTTTCTTGAAGTGGCACCTTTTGCTTTTTGTTCATGATTTAGCCACTGTAAAAATGCTGTGCTGCAAAGTGCTGCTTCCTATCATGAACTTCTTGGGACCATTATCTTTGAAGCTAAAGTTTGATACATTTTCAAAAACCCTCAGCAAAACAAAAAGTTGAGAAATCGAAGTACTAAGGAAATTTTGGCTTGTTTACAAGAAAGTAAAAGATAACGAGAATACATAACTAAGTTTAGTTTATGCTTCATTACAAACACCTCTGAAACATTTTCCCACTATTGTCTTTGAAATATGAGCTGAAAAGTGAGAATGCTTGCAGGTATTGTGTGTTCTGGAATTGGAAAGGGTGAGTGTTAGGACACATAAATCCCCAACCACTCATGATTCAGTTTTATGGATAAATTGGATTTAGGCAGTAATTTCAGAAAAACATACTCAGGAGAATCATTTTCTGTATGTTCATTTGTTCCACAGAGATTGAATGAGTGCTGGTATAGTCAAGCCTCTGCCAGATCTCTTAGGAGTGCAGATAAGAGGATTTGAAGAAAGCCTCCTGTACTTGATAGGAGAGGGTTATGCCTTCAGAGGTGTGGATGAAGAGAAGAGGAGAGAATGACTTTTGATTGGTGATCAGGGAGGCTTCCTGGAGGAGGTGGCCTTGGAGCTGTTTGCTGAGAACAGCTGTCATTCTCTCTGACTCACCTGTTTCATATGACACCCCCTTTATGGCTCTTTTCTCTGGAAACTTCTCATTTGGTTTTCCTAGGCTGTTGTTTTAGCTCTGCTTCCAGTCAGCCTTTCTTTTCATGGCTCCGTTTCCAGTCAGCATTTCTTTTCGTGTCCTTCTGTTCTTCCTTTTCCCTTCTTCCTCAGAGATATTTATGTCTGTGTCTTCAAATATTT